TTCCCCAAAGCTCACCCCACACAAGCAGCCTTCGCAAACCATGAAAAATACCACATTACAAGAAACTCAAATACCAGAAGCTACCAGAAATTCAGCACTTTTGCTACAACTATTTAAAGGTCACGGTAATTTGTTTTATTCTGTAGTATTTGGGAGTACTTGGAGTTAATTTTCCCCAGGGGACCAAGCAGACTGTTCAGGCTGTACGAGAAGCGACCAACAAACACATCCTCACTAGGGCAAATGCAGCTCGCCTCAAGATTTAAAGTTGCCCCAGCAGAGCACCGCTGGCTGATTTGGGGTGTTACACGTCCCTTCAGGGGTAGAGCAAGTCCGGAGCATCTAACCGTTTTTAAAGAGATTAAGTGTTATTCTTTGCTTCCCCCTCCCCACGCAGAGCTTGGCTATTATCTCTCGACCGCTGAAGCGGTCATTTTGGGATTCAGTTTGCTGTTCGTATCATTGCTGTCAAGCACGAGTGTGCCCAAAGTTGTACGCCCCCCACATCCACCCTGCTTGCTGCTGCCAAAAATACACTGCACCTAGCAAAAGAGAAGCCTGTCCATCAGCTCAGGACCCGACCGCACCAGTCCTTAAACAAACCTTTGCAGCTTAGTCGAGAAAGCAGTCGTGTTTCTTGAGAACTGCAAACCATGCCTTGTGCGCTCTGCTTTGGGGGAGTACCTGTTCACCACCGTGAACAGGCTCATCATGGAGACCAGAGTGCTCGGTGCATTGCAAATCACTTCTGACTACTATAATAATTAGACAAGGTTTAGGGAAAGGAGATGATTAGGTACTTGGAAACAAAGAGGAAAAAAAGAGAGGAAAAATAAAATCGCATCAATAAAAATAAATGTGAATTTTAGTTCAACTGCTAGCTGCCATTAGGAATTTTCCTCTGGAGCATCTCCTGGCCACCAGCATTAAGCAAACACCTCCAGAAACACTTAATCCTTTGAACATTATTTCGCAGAACTGACATACACCTCGGTTATGATTCTCGAATCTGTTTTACATATCTTTATCATCAAGTCTAACAAAAAAGTAAAGGGAGATCCTAGCAGCCTTCCAGTCTCCTTACTACTAAGTTCAGCGATACCATAATCGAGTTCAGTGAGCCAGCAAAACCGCAAGTGCAACTTTGCTTCACTCACCAAATATTTTACCAGAAGCTTTCTCTTTTAGGAAGTGTGATTTACCGGACACCTGGCTCTCCTCTCCACTGCGGTGTAACAACGCATCGCTTGGGGAACGGTCAGCCCTGTTCTTCAAAGCTTTCTATTTCTAATTGCTACCTAAGCCATCATGTTTTGTTAATCATGGATCCTCCAAAGGATTTCTCATTCAACGCATCATCTTCACAATTCCCAGGCTCCTCCTGGTACTGCACTGGGACTAAACACGGCAAAGGGGACCTGGGATTGGTGCAGCAGGGCTCAACGTCTCCCTCTTTCCTGGCATTCTGGGTTTCTCGCTGCTCCATGGAAGATACCACCTCCAGATGACACAGCCCCAGGGAAGGAAAGCTGGCAACAAAACTGACATGTCTTTAGGTACGCAGGACACAATGCGCCTTTGGAATAACTCAGCAGCTAGTCTAGCCTCCCAATTAATACAAATCATTATCTTTAATCAACTTACTCCTACACGGACTTAAATAATATTGGAGTTTTGCTAAAGCTTAACATTAGGAAATATAATCAGTCTTAACTTGCAGATCCCGCGAGCAAAACAAACTGAACTACCACCGTAACTCTGACAGTCTGTTTTGTTGTTCAAATGCATACTTAAACTTGGCTTTGCTTAGATTTACTCTCTAGACATTTGAGTTTGCTGATGATCTACCCCACTAACAACGTACTTGCAATCTTTCAAAAGGGACTTTTTTTTTTTTCTTTACATCTTGAATTATATTGTTCTTCTCTGAAACTTTTCAGCACAGCTTTGCCACATCATGACACAGAATTCACTGACAATGACTCAGTTACTTGTCTACTACCAGATCTAAATCTTTTCCCAAGTCATAATGTTCTGACAAAACACTGCTTTCCCAGCCTGGAGTTAGGGTCTACGTTCTTTATTCCTAAAATGTAAAACTTTATACTTTTCTGTGCACAAATAAGCCCAGTTTATCAGCAAACAGATAACTACTTTCCCTTCATTGTTGGTTATCTCTCTGACAGTCCTTACCTTAAACGCACATGTTATCAAAATGGTGCTTTATGTCCTTTCACTTAGATGCACCGAAATCAGGTCAACCTCTGCTTGGTACAACGATCTTCAAAGTAAGAAGTTTGCCAGATGTCTTGCAATGGCATTTTTGGAAGCTCTAAAGATGTTTTACTCTGCTGGCACGTCAGCACCAATGCACTGCTCCCAGAGTGACGTCCTCTGTTGTCACGTTATATACAAGTGCTCAGGGAACAATGTGCTTTTCCAGTTTACAGGGTGGAGGGAGGAGACAGCGAGAACGGGATTCAACTTAGCTAAATTTTTGACAATGACAATGAGGACATCTTTTTCTGGGCAATTCTTAGTTGATTCCCTCAGTAAACTAACTGGCACTTTTAAAGCCGTTTCTCTCATATTTTGAATATTTTAGGATGAGACCAATGTCCTCTTAGAAGTTATTATTTCTCTCTATCGAACATGGAGTGAGACAAGGAAAGCGGTTCCAGCAGAGACTCCTACACCGGAGAGGTCTACGTGTAGGGAGAGGAATCCTATCTTATGGCACAGTCTTCAGAGTCAAATTTACAGAAAATCAAGAACAGTGTGAGCAGGCTTCGTTCTAGTAGTTTAACCGGGGAAAAAGGTTTCAAATAAAGATTATTTTTTAATATGCCAATCAGGTAAATACAGGAATCTACATGGTTTCCCTACAAATGTTCTCCACCTACTAGACACAGACTGAGGATAAGGTAATTTTTCATTTCTAGATACAAGTTGAGATCAGTGAAGATCCTTTTAGGGCTAAAATTTCATTACAATTTTAATTACTCTTTCATTTCTGGGATAAAAATGTGAATAAACCCCAGCACCTTCGGTTGTCCTTTCAGCACACAGGTGCTCACTAGCAAGCATGAAGACTTAGTGTTCGCATGTGGAGGTAAACTTTACGCTACATTCATGCAATTGAGGAACAGTTCCCTCTTCAGGATTATCCTAATCCAACATATTTTTAAATGGATAAAAGTCACCTGAGCATTCAAACAAGATTCCCCAGCCGAGCCACTTACCTTCAGCGTGTACACTCCCATGCGCCCCGGGACCTTATAGAAAATGCCCTCTTCCCCTCGGGAGTTTGTATGTAACATAGCATTCAGGCATGCAAGAGGAGAAGTCCCACTGAAAACAAAAACACAAGGTTAATGTTTGAATGTATTTGGTCAGTGTTAATCTTCTGCTGGGAGACAACCACGGCCCCTCACCTGACCATCACGCATGCAGAGGCAGAGAGATTCCAGATCCAACTTCTATTCCCAAGGAGAATACAAGTTGAAGCTGCCATAGTAAGCAACAGTGAAACCAGTCCACGTACCCACGCTCCAGTTCCAGAAAAGAAAAAAAAGCAAACAAAAAAGCCCCCAAGCTCAGGCTCCCCAATACTTCTTTGCCGAACATCAAAACTGTCACGCATTTTTAAAGCTCTAGATATTTAACGTTGCTCATCTGAAACTCAGAGCAGATTTGTTGTGAGCTAACTACTGACTGCAGAGATATTTTAAGTTTGAGGTTTTTTTAAAGAAAACCCACAGCATACTGAATTAAGAGTTGTGGGATAAAGAATGGAAACCAATTATGCAATTTCCTCTGAAAAGAGTGGAGATCTTTGATCCCAGCCAGGAGAACCGAGACAGAAGATCCATCTTTTCACCGGTGCTGGTGGGGGTTTCTTTGTTTGGTTTTTTAAACCCAAACCGCTGTAGACAGAAGCAAAATCAGGTGGACGCAGCAAGACAGGTGACTTTTGTTCCCACTGCAGGGTCAGGCTGATCATAGCCTCTACTAAATAGGTATCCTGGCTCACAAAGCATATTGATATCAAGCACAACCCCTGCACAGAAATTAAGCGAGAGGTTTTCGTCTCCCAACACCCTGTCACAAAGGCTGGAACCAGAACCATCAAATCCACTAAAATCCTAAATTTGTGACTGATTAACTGAAATCCCCGAGCAGGAGATACAGCTGTTTGTCTGTATTAAGTTTTGCCATGAACATTCAAACAAACCTGCATCAAAAGCAGTGAAATAAGCCCTGGGAGGAAAGGGAAATAAAGGCGAGGGCGAGCACAGCCCTCCGACGATTCGGGCAGGGCACATGCACTCCAAGTTCTGCTTAAGAGCAGCAAAACAGCTCAGCTGCATTACTGATGCCTAGTACAAGGAGAAGCCAACATCCTGAAATAGGTCCGGTCTCCTTTGCCCCAGTGCATACAAGCTAACAGGTAGGAGACCCTGCAAGGAACACCGGCCAGCTATGGCGGCTCACGAACCACAGGAGAAATACCATTACAAGAGGAGGACTAGTATTTATGTTGCTAGACCCGATCCTACCTGTGCTGACTGCTAGGCAGATGTACAGCGAGACACCGGTCCCTGTTGGAGGGACCGCCGCTGCCGGCGGGGAGCCGACAGGGCACCATCCCGGTGCCCCCTGCCCATGGCACCGCAGACCAGGATCCTGCAGGCTGCTCGCTCCTCCAGTTGAGAAACAGGCTTAGAGAAGTACTCGGACTTCTGTGGGAGCTCTGCGGTTGTACTGGGGCACCCCAGGGCTCGGGCACAAGCCTAAGCAGGGGCACGCAGTCGTCCCCCACCAGCAGAGATCTCTGTGGGGTTGCAGCCCACAGTCAGACCAGATGACCTCCTTCAAACCTACGTTATTCCATGCAAAGGGTCAGAAAACAGCCTCTGCAGCATCTCCGCTCCACAGGATCTTATGCTTTCTGAGTTTTTGCCAGCGTCATTTGTTAATAAATAGTAGTGAAAACAGTGATGAGGAGGGAATTTTCTAAACCCCAGCCCAAAGCTCATCTGACCGCCTTAGCAGACGGCTCAGTCTGATGCTCAAGCAAAAACCAGCAGCACTGGAGGAAGCAGCGGAGCCTCAAGCATGCCAGGGACCACCCACTGGTCCTGTTTTGGTTCTTACATGGCAAAAATCAGTTTCATTCAGGTGCTCTTACACTGACCCAGCGACTCCTCCAGCTAACAAACGTCTTTTGGAGAGACAGCCAACCATGATACAACAGAGAAATCAGTAACGTGAGCATCTCGCTTTACTCCCTGCCAGGAGTTCGTGCCCGTCTTCAGACATGGCGTTATCTAGGTTGACATTCCAGCCAGAATCCCTACCACTGAATATAAGCTTCTCCTAAATACATTTGCACACAGTAGACAACCTCTCCTCATGACCTCCTTGACTCCCCCCGCCGAAACCAGCTCTTGGCTCATCACTCCCTGCCGCTCCCATAGCTTTTCTGTGCACCTTCCCCAATGGTGCAGCAGCTCCTACAAACGTGAACAACGCAACTGGAAGCAACTCTTCTCACACTAGCTTCACCGAGGCTATGCGCTAACTTCACAAGGCTAATCCTCTTCTCCAGAAAGCCACAGGGTCTCCCTGGAAGCTATAATTCAGTGTGATTTCCTACAGCAACCCCAAATTGTTTCCAAAGGCATTGCTCCCCAGAGTATACCCTTCCCCTCTTCACGTCTTTGCTCCTGGATGTGATTTCTGCATGCAAGGACTATGCGAGAACTGCTCGCAAGTATATTTTATACAGGCCCAGCTGTATCTGGCAGTATAAACAATATACCTGTTCTTCTCCCATCAACGTGCATCATCATCCCTCCTATCACTGCATCTAAAAAATTATCATTGTATACTTCTTTCCAGATCACTAATAGCATGTTGAATAGCACTGAACACACCGAAGCATTCCCACGTTCAGGAAGCTCTGGGGCAGCGAGGAGAGCTCTGCCACGTACCTGACCTTTAGCTCACGGAGTACATTCCTTTTAAAAACTGTATCAGAGCAGAATATCAATGTTAAGCCAAGCATCTAACAAAGTCTAGGCAGAGCTGCGCTTTGGAAGCTCACCAAGGAATGAAGCCTTGGCAGGACCAATCTTTACAAAAGCTATACTGGTCTGGCATCTACACAGCTCGTACTGAATTGATTCCATTGTTTAACAGCTTATCCACTATTTTTGCTTTATTTTTTTCCTCATGTTTACCCATCTATAGTTACGTGTCTTCCTCTACAGGCTCTTCTAGAAAGCTGGCACAAATGTAACACTATTCTAGCCTTTCATAAAGCTTACTGTGAAAATTTTGGAAGCTAAAAATCAGTTGACAAGTCCCACCTAACTTTCAAAAAAAAAAAGGGGGGGGGGAGGAGGGTTCGATTTGGGTATAAGATGCACGGTCTTCACGTCGTATTACATCCTTTCTGCCTCTATGAGTGAGTACTCATAAGCACTCGAACCTTTCCTATACTAATCATCTTATTTTCATGACTATCACTCAATTTCAGCCACCACCCTGGGTGCAGGGTGGCAGCTCGTGCTTCTGAACAGATTCCCCCAACACAGCTGCAGAAGAACAGGAGGGCGGCTGCTGCCGCAGGGTTACGTGAGCTGCCTAACCAGCAGCTTCCAACTGCACTGATCTGGACCTTGATTTGACAGACAAACCTCCAAACTGGGGGAAAAAAAAACCCCATACCCAAAAAGATATTTCAAAACAAGCCAAGAGGCTCACCCCAGAATTCGGATAAAGCCCTAACCAGCAGGGCTGTACTAAACCTGCATCCCAAGGGAAAGCACTTTGCGCATTTTTCTTTGGTAAAAGGTGTTGCTGCATTACTACAACCCCTGACCCACAGCTCTGATAGTTTGCTAACAAGTAAATGTGCAGTGAGACTGTGGTTACGTTTATTCTTGGAGATGAAACTTGTTCTCCTCTGAATGGAAAGATTTCATCCCTTGCTTGTTCTTTGCTGCCGCTTTGCTCAGAATCCCCCAATATTCACTTAATACTTTTTCCAACTACCTGTGTTTTGCACCCAGCCTACCTTTTGTTATTTTAAATGCAATAGCTGCCTAAAAATAGCCTTAGGAACCAGATGTTATTATGCCATTTATTTTATTGCTGCCTTTTTTTTTTTTTTTTTTTTTTTTAAACGAAGGCCTCTCCGTTTGCCAGGAACACACATGGGATCGTCAGCCGTGTCTGACAGTTCCTGTCATTCCACCTCAAAACCAGTAGTTCAAGAAGCAGATGAAGTGAAAGACAAGTTCCTGCCCGCTCCAGATTCATCATTACCTACTATTTCACTTCAGTCCCTTCCATCCCGCCCAAATCCGTACTGCTCTGCACGCAGAGCCACAGTCGGTCTCTGATACTGCTGACCATCAGCTTCCATTAACGTGACCGCTAACGGACCAGTCCTTTTGGAGGTCTCAGAACAGGATTCATCCTTCAGAAAAGTGGAGCTCAGCAAGACTATGACATGACTAGTTCGTAACTGCTACGCTCCTTCATGTCCCCGTTTGGGAAGCTGTATCGAATCTGTTAGGCATCAAGCCCCTAACTCGCTTTGTAAAGCTTCTGAACTGAAACATTCTCCAGCTTTATGATCACGGTCATCAATCACCCTGGGCTCTAAATAAGCTCAAGTTGTGGTTCTTGGCTTGAAGATGAGGGGTTTGAGGTGCAGATGCACAAACCTTCTCAGTTTACAGGGGCAGGAATTACATTACTGCTTTTGAGGAGAGTCTCATTGCAGGCTCCTGTTCTACCCGTTCTCTACAGCAAACCGGCTCACCAGCTTACTGCAGTATGGACAGACAGCATGGGCACAGTCACGGTGGAAGGAGAAAGAAGAAGGGTATATCCACACTCATTAACATCAAATTCTCCCAAAGAAACCTGAACAAACATTACCCCTTCTACCAGCTCCCCTCCATCACCTTCCTACAGCTAATGCTCACAGAGTTCAGAGGCTGCTTTGCCCCTCCTGCCCCCTTCTCCGTGTAGGGCTGTTTTCATTTCATTATTTGATTAAGAATCTTCCAAAATGAGCTAAGACCAATTATTACTTTTCCCACTCTGTAAAATTTCCGTATTCCCCTGTTCTCACAGGCTGCCCTGTTTTCACCCAATATTAACAACGACTGCTACAGAGAGGTGATGGGCAGCAAAGGGATCTCACTCTCATAGTTAAATGCAAGGTCAAAATATTTGTCCAGATGCTGGCAATTTGGTGCAAATGACTATTAAAAGCAGAGCTATTTCCTACCCTAGCAGTTTAGGAACAGAGGTTGAATTTGAATGTGAGC